CAGGAAGTTGAAGAAGGGCCGAGCGCACACGCTCCTCCTGCAATACGGGCCAGTCCTGCCACAGGCAGAATAGCTTCATAACAAATGGGAATATCTTCTTACTTGGCTTAAGAGAGCAAGGACAGGTAGCGCCTCTGCCCATGGAAATATTTTAGAATTGTAAACAAGACCTTGGAATAATGTTACCACTTTCTTGCCTCCTTTTGTTTACATACCGAGATATTTTTGCAACAGTAGAGGAAGAGTACGGTGTTTTTGTGTTGTTTTTTTTTCTTCACCCCAGAGAAAAGCTTGTGGTCACTGTTGTTCTTGATATTTTTCCCACTATCGTTTAAGCATTTCATCTCTGGGTGTTTATTTTTCTGCTCAAGGGGCTGCTCTACAAAGGTCACAACTAACCCTCAACAATCCTCACACTTCCTGACATGCTGCTGAGTGAGAGGCACCACAACTTCAGACAGTGAAGTCGGATTATAAAACTTCTAATTTCCCAAGGGTCAGGTAATGCTCTCCAATCAACCCTGGTTGCATCTTTGAAATAGGTTAAAGTTACCCTTTGACACCTTATGAACACGAAAAAAGCTATGTAAGCAGGTCGGAGGGGTGGTGTGGAACAGGTTTAAGTACTTTCGAATGTCAGGCCTGGATTTGTCTGGTCTGAAACCCATATTTTGTTTGGAAGCTGTTTCCAATAGGAAGAACAAACCCTTGCATCCTTTTACTAAAATATTTTTGATTATTAAAGGATTTTACACCTGGGACAACATATTTCTGGCAGGATACAGTTACCATGTTAAATGAAAATGTAAGCAGGCTAAAAATAAAAATCTGCTATGTTTTTTGTCATTTTGCTGAAAACATTGTGTTCATGATGCCAGAGATCCTTGTGCTGTTCCTTTAAGAGGGCCGTTTTCCTAAAGTTTATACACCGACTTAGTCAGTTTACTTGAGCACTGTAGGTGGTGTATTTACAGGGCTTAAAACGAACTTGTTTGTATCCAGTGTGAAGAATGGCTAGTGGAGAGCGGATGCTGTGTATCTAAGTAGCCAGTGCCGTGCGTCTCTGTTGCATAAATAAAGATGATGTGCTCTTGATATCTATCATGTCGCTCTTAGTCTATATTATGGTAAACAGCCTCTCTAGTGGCACTTCGGGAGCTCTTCTGAACAAACCACCTCTTTCAAATCAATAAAATCAACACTTGACGCCGGCGCTTCCATTTCAGAGGCCTTTCAGGTGCTCGGCAGTGACTGTGTTCGGGCTTGGGGGGGGGACGATTCCCAATCCTGGTACTCTGCTCATCTCTTCGTGTAAACTAGCACAGAACCTGAGTTGAGTGTGGCAGGGAGGGGCAGTTCGGCCCCCGGTAGCTCAGATGTGACTTAAAACAACACTTTGCTGCCTGATGGGGGGGTTGGCGGGTGGTGGGGGGGTGGGAGCAAGGTGAAACCTGGAATGCGGTGCTGATGAGGTCATACCTGTGTGCGCCTGTGTTTTGTGTGCGCAGCCATCGAGGGGATTCGGTTCACAGCCTCCTGAGGCCCCATCAGTAATGATGTCATGGGAAACAATCACAAAGCCCATCTTGGCTGTTTGCAAACTCTCTCCGCTTCCCTTGAAAGCCTTCGATTGGACCTCCTAAATAATATTTAAAAAACCTGGCTCCTTTGAGGGGGAACCTTCTGCGACTTTTCCCGAAACCAAAGGAGGAAAACGCTGTTTGAGAACGCTGGGACGAGATGTAAACAGTGGCTCCCCCCCTTTGATGCTCTTACCGTTTCCTCCTCTCAGTCTCCCGCCTTCATTGCCATCGTTTCTTTTTACCGTAAACACTGCGAACTGATCCCCGCCGCCGTCGTCCCAGAGGAGCACGGGTTGGCGGGGGGGCCCCCTACTCTCAGTGCAAAAAAAACGACCAACTCAGAAGAGCTGGGAACATGAAAGGAGGGAGCTAACTACAGGGGATAAACACATTCCTCTGCAACCCGACCGGCTACCGCCGCCGCCGCCGCTGACTGGTGGCGGTGCAGGGGAGCTCGCAGCGAGACGCATTGTTGCCTCAAAGCAAGGTGGAAAGAGGTGGTGGGGGGGGCTGAATATCCTTGAGCTCCTTTAGATCTCCTATGCAGCGAGCAGCACTTGACCTTTCCAGCACTAAAGGAATATGACAGCCGTGAAGCCTGCAGAGAGAATGGGGAGAGAGGCAGAGGTAGGGGGGGTTAGGGGGGGGGGGGGGGGGGTGAAATGAGCAAAAGACAAAAGCCACACAAAGTGCCGGCTGCCACCAAAACAGTTAGTTTGCAATCAGCGTCAGTCATCCCTCCTGTCGGGACAGTTTGATTTTCACTTTTCAAATGAGGCGTTTATTTTTGGCCTGATAACAGGGCTGGCTAAATTGAAATTGGCAGCTCGACAATTTACAGATAATAGTCGGCTACGCAGGAGATCATGTGAACAGCCCTTTCTTTCACTCCGCTCGAGCCCCCACCCTCTCTCTCTCTCTCTCCTGTCGGAGATGAGAAAGAAGGAAATGAGGGAGGGAGAAAGAGAAAAAAGGGCTAATCTTAGCAACAATCAGAGGCTGAGAAGGCAAAAAAGGAGTTTAAAAACGCACTCCTGACTGGTCTCCCGGCCTGTACAGTAAAACCTTTACAAATGATCCAGAACGCGGCGGCGCGTCTGGTCTTCAATCTGCCCAAAAAATCTCACGTCACCCCTCTGTTCATTGAACTCCACTGGTTACCTCTGGCTGCCCGTATCAAATTCAAGTCCCTGATGCTAGCCTACAAAGTGCTTAAGGGTATGGCTCCCATCTACTTGAATCCCCTTGCAAAGGCTTATGTCACAACTCGATCACTCCGGTCATCAATGGATTGTCGTCTAGCAGTGCCTTCACCACGCTTAAGACAATCCAGACTGTTTGCATGTGTCGTTCCAAGATGGTGGAACGACCTACCAAGCGCCACAAGAACAGCAGCGTCCCTGTCTGTTTTCAAGAAACTCTTGAAGACCCACCTCTTCAAAGAGCATCTCCTATCCTAACCCTAACCAGTACCTCTACCCCCCACAGCTCCTATCCTAACCCTAACCCGTACCTCTACCCCCCACCGCTCCTATCCTAACCCTAACCCGTACCTCTACCCCCCCCACAGCTCCTTCTGTAGCCCCTCTACCTCTATCTCTATCTCACCACTGACTCTGATCAGTGTTTCTGTTCTATAAAGTTTATTGTCATTGTGATGAGAAATGTAATATTGTGTCTACTCTGTAAGTCGCTTTGGATAAAAGCGTCTGCCAAATGCATAAACATAAACATAAACATAAACATAAAAATGAGGGGAGAGGAGAGGGGGGGGGGGGGGGGGGGGGAAGAGGGGGGGGGGGGGGTGGGGGGGGGGGGAAGGGGAGGGTGGGGGGGGGGGGTGAAGGCATACAGGAGAGGTGAGGATAGAAAGAGAAAAGGAGGGAATTTCTTTAATGTTTCTGGCAGTAGACCAGCTGAGGTCTCAAGGTTATCCTGGCTTTGCAAACTCCCACGGGAAAGGTGGAGTGCTGAGGGCCCAGGAAAGGGAGGGGACGAGGGGGGGGTGAGGGGTCGGGGGGGAAGAAGGGGGGGGAGAGAAAGCTGCCCTTTTTTCTCCTGGAAGGGGGCAAATGCTCTGGGGGAGAGTAATCCTCCGGCCCTCCTGTCTGATAAGGCTGGCCTTGGCCCAGGTAGGGGGGAGAGGAAACATGGCTCTGGGGCCTCTCGGGGCATCTCAGCAGCACAGGAGCACAAACTTAGCGGTTTGATGAATTCCAGCTCGAGTCATTATAAACACATTTGAGCGATAACAATGTGATTCCCCCCCGCTGATTCCCACTGCGAAAAGCTTTGGCGGAGCAGCTGTTTCTGGATGTGGGGCGAGTTCATTTGGCTCGCTCAAGGACGCTGTCGTGGAAACAGCGCCTCGGCCCGGCTCTCCGCACAAAAAAGCCTTAATTAGAACGGCTCGGCGTTGATTCTAGCAGCACGCCCGGGTTCGAACATCAGCCTGTTCACAGACCCGTCTGGTTACCGCACTCTGAACTCTCTCTTCAACTGCTGAGTGCGTCAAATGATATGACTTTTCAAGAAACTGAGACTTAATCCACACAGATTTCCTCAAAGACTGCCACAGTTGGGTTGTCTCAGCAGCCCCACCTTTCCCATTATCCAGCAGAGTATTTGAACTCATCGCCTCTATGCAAATGCGAGTGAACCTTGAATATGACGTGTTTGATCCGTGAATGATAATGGGGATGCCATCCGCTGAATGGGAGAGATCTGGGTTGATAGTCCGCGTTTGTTTACACTAAAATAGGCCTATTAGAGATAATGATTTGCAGCACAAAGCTTTCAGTTTCCGGAGATGCGGGTGTGCATGCGTGCCGCCTCCTCAGAGGTAAGCTCTCTTATCAGTCAAAAAACTCCCCTCTGGAGGAAATGGAGACACTTCATTTAACTGTAATTCAAACAGTCCAGTGCTTACTGTGAATAAACAAGGGCCGAGGGACTCCGCTTTACTTTAGTCCATGTTGTCTTCTGTGGAGAAAATAAAGAGGAAAACCTGCTCTTTCTCCTTTGCAACAAGAGTAGATTTAACATAAATATGATTAATTACTAATCAGATGTTCGGAATTGCGCTACAACACGTGCTTCTACTTTTAAATCTGATCAATGCTTCCTTTGAGAGAATATTGTATGCTCAACAGGTTTTCAGACACTTTCCATTTGGTCTATATGGTGATTTATTTAATCATGTGTTGCTCTATTTCTAGGAACCATTTCTACTGCTCAACTAAAACAGCATGAGTACCTTCATCCATCTGTGTGCCTCTCAACCCGAACCTATTGACAAGTCATTCCCCGGAAGATCAAGAACGTCTGACCCAAATCTTACAATATATTTAAACTCTGCATTCGCTTGACAGAGTGAGCTCCGTGCACGAGTGCGTCCGCAGTCGGAACACTCGGCAAATGGTGCTTCATTTGCATGAGTGGCCCTCACCCCCACCCGCATCAGCTAAAAAGCCGAAGAAGCGATATTCCCAGTCCGCCGCAGCCTCGGGCTGGCTAACCGGAGACTCGGGCCAACCTCGCCGGTCCAGCTCCCTAACCGCTTCCTCTCCACTGCTGCCGGGTTTGACTCACCGTGACCTCTCACCTCCCATGCTGCGCCGCCACCCCCACACATGCAAATAGCAGCGATCTGCTCCAGGAAAACATCAGGAAAAAAAAAAAAATTAAAAAAAAGTTTGAGATGGAGGAAAATGAAAGAGTGAAGGAGGAGTGACGTGGATAGATGGAAGGGGATGGAAGGGGTTGGAGGGTTTAGCAAAGGAGAGAAAGATACCCCTAAAGGAAGCATCCCTGTATGTGAAACTCTGGTCTACGGCCCCGCACCGAGGCCCAAACACACCTCTCTCTCTCTCTCTCTCTCTTTTTTGCACAGCCAAAACGGACCCCTGTGTCTGCCGGGCTTACAGTGACCCGTGCTGATCTTTCTGTGTGTGTGCGAGCTGGTACGGGAGAATGAAAGTGCGAGCACATCCACCGTACTTATTGTTTTCTTTGCTCCCGGGCCGCTCCAGGCTCCTCGTCAGTTCGTGTGTGTGTGTGTGTGTGTGAGGGGAGGTAAGCGATGTGTGTGGATCTGTATCTGGAGAGCCTCCAAAAACCCCTCATCTCCTCTCTTTCTGTTCTCTCTGCTCGGAGGATCTGTCAGTTCTCCTTCTTTCTCTTTGCGCCGGCTTTGATCCTGCTCTCCAAGCCTTGGCTGGCCTCGCTAACAGCAGCTGAGCACAGGTCCTTCTCCACTCCCACTAAGAACACACATTCGCCGCCACAGTGGGATGATGCTGGTGAACACGCGCACACACTTTTCTGCTCCGCTCACTCCCCCTTCTCCTCGCCAGCACGCTCCAGAATCAGTGAGAGCGGGCCTGGCCGTCATTTTTTCCGCGAGTTATTGAAGCTAATCGCGTTCACCTCGCCCGGCACAAACTCTAACCCGCAAACAGCTCGCACCGCGGGCGACTCGGCCGATGGGTCACTCTGCTGCGATTGTGGGTGGTGTTGGAGCCTCCACACATCTACGATTCCATCTGTATGTAGGCAATGCATTTCTTTTCCAAAAATCGAGTGGAAGCAGATCAAATTTCCTCATGTGATAACCGGTTCCCTCATTTTTAGGGCCATATTAGTCATAGCAAAAACAGTCACACTCAAAGTGTGTCTAACACCAATGCATTTGCAAAGCTTTCAAGTGGATTCCTTGATTTCTGTTCATGTGGTCTCACTTTGTTCCCCCCTTTCTAAAGAGTCTCCATCACCTATACCAGCTGCTGCCCCCTGCAGTCATCTGAAACATATAGCACTTTCCACCTGTGCAAGTTTTTTTTTTCAGCCTGTGCAACATTGAGTAAATGCAAATACACCCACGATGCTAATCTACTACCAGAGCGGAATGTGGTAATTAAACCAATAAGGAATTATTATTATGATAATTCACGGAGGTGATGCTGGCCTCTTCTGAAGTCATCACTCAGATCTTTCCTTTCATGATCAAAACAGTTATTTTCCTGAAGAAATGAAAGTAACGCTAAAGCAGACTGTTGAAATACAACAACAACAAAAAAAGAATTATTAGGATTAACGGTTTTGGGTGAAGAATGGGTGCCATCCCCAGGCCGGTGCAGAACTGAGCAGAGGGCACGGTGACCACTAACCAGAAAAAACATCTTGCAGGAGTCCCTGGAACATGACCTGTTATCTTTGGCACATTCTAATCTTATTTTGATCTCCTCTGACCGGCGCTGAGGCGCACACTGGCCGCTCGCTTTCTGGAGCAACAGGAAGAAATCTGTGGCGACTTGTTGAGCGTGTCCGGTCCACCGTGGCCTGTCGGACGCGTCCGGATCCACCGCTATGTTGCAGTTCCGTGAGAGAGGAATTTGTGCCCGCACGGTGCCGTGCTCGGGTCGAGCGACGGCACCAGCGCGACGCCTCACAAAGGCCGGCCTTTGTGAGGCCTGTTTGTCTTCGTACTTCCCACTTTATTGCGAGTCGGTAATGCCACAACAGGCATTTAAGCTTCGGCCTGACCTCCCCCCCCACCTGCGCACACTCGCACAGCCGTGTCACTCCTGGTGCGTCTGGAGTCCGGGCCGGAAGAAGTTCCTTTCCCCAATGGCTTACACATTAAGTCAATGGCACTGTGGCGCTATTTTTGTGAGTGTTTCATTCACACACACACACATACTTCAGCCCCACAATCTTCTTCCCTAACATCATTATTGCAGTGTGCAGCGGTCCTTGGACAAGAGAGTCCAATAAAGATATGAGTCCTGCGAAGGACTACAGCAGAAAGAGGAAAAAAAGAGGAAGAGGGAGATAAAGGGCGGTGGGATAAGGAGGAGTGACATATAAAACCGATAAATACAGATAAAAGCAGTGAAAGGATATGAGGGTTGCCGCAACTTAGCATTGCCCGCGGTCACGCGCTCTCTCTCCGTTCTGAGATATGCGAATCTGGACATTAAAGAAATGATTTGGACTTTAAACGTCTCATATAAACTGTCGGCATGGTGAGGGAAGAGTGATAATTTGGCTTTCTGGACCTGGACTCATTTTAGTCACTCGGTATGATGCCAGCTGAGCCCGCACCAGGCAGAAGAAACTATTCTAAAAGAAAATGACCGAGAAAGAAAATAAAAAACAACTGCCAGTGACCCAGTCAAAGTCCAGACCTCAACCACCTTGTAATGCTGCGGTTGTGCCTTAAAGTTGTTTTTTGCTGTATGAATTTCTAGAATCCTCGTAAAAAAAGAGGAAAATGGCAAAGAACAGTGGGGTGAATGTCCTCTACGAGAATGGGAGACAGATGAAGTGATCCATAAGATGGTCATCACCTTTTTAAGAAGAATCATAGGCTGTGGTTGAGGACAGATTCTCTGCTTTTACATTTTTTAGACATTTATTTAACAAATAAAGACAGTAATAGTTGGATGGTGTTATATTCTATGTCATGTTACTAATGTATTAGATTTTTTCCAGACACTTATTCTGTTTTTTCATCAACTCACCTTATCTAAACATCATGTGATCATATGTTGTTTTTTCCAAAGGAGAAATCTTATTGGGATTCTGCCTGTTTCCCGCTGGTTTCCGGGTTTCTGGTGAGGTTACGCATTGCAACAGGTAGCTCTCTGCGCGGCGGCACGGGCCAGGTGCGCGCGACCCGGTGCTCCTCTGGCAGGGGGGGGGGAGGACAGGGCGGGACTGGCTGAGGACTCCGTGACTCAGTGCACCAACCGGGGAGCTCTTGCAAAACGAGCGTGAGAGAGTCGCTCGGGCGGAGAGCCGTTTCGAAAGCGGCTGACCACGAGTGCGTCTGTTTGGGGAGCCCGTCGGTGATACTGAGAGGGGGGGTGGAGGTGTTTGTGTGTGTGTGTGGGGGGGGGGGGGGGGGGGGTGACTCAGGTGCTCAGTAGACAACAATAGCTCTTATTAGGATCCCAGCTGGTTCTGGCGCAAGTACAGACCAGCCTCTCTCCTGCACAAAGTCTGAGTTTGCACCATGCAAGATGCAGGGATGCCTCCACACTCACACACATACACACACACAGTCACCAAAGCTATCTGCCTGGGTCGTGCATTCACATATTTGGTTTTATTTAGGTATTTTTTTTGTCCAAATGTGCGCCTCAGCCTCGGTGGGCTGGCCGGATGCCCGGAGGCTCCCCGCAGATCGGGGCGGCAGGCCGGGCGAGAGGAGCGCCGTCCCTCCGGTCGCCTGCGCGCCACGTGTCGCGGTCTCCAGCAGCTGGAGGTGCGCGTGTGCGCGCGTGCGTGTGTGTGTGTGTATGCGCGCGACGCGCTGCAGAAATAATGGATTTCTCTCTGGCTGTTGACACGGCTGCTCTCTTTTTTGGGGGGGGTTTGATTTTCTTTTTCCTCCTCCTTGCTGCACCTTGGACGAAACTCTGGGCTCCCTTTTTTCTATTTTGAGCACCTTTTTCACCGTTTCTCAGAACAATAAAAGACTTAATAGTTACATTTTCCCCTCTTTGGAACCCCATACCAGGAGCCTAAAAGTAAGAAGCAAAAGAAAAACTGAGGAGATGGGCTCCCCGAATCTCCTATAGAGACTCTTTAAATGCCCAGCAGTGCCCTGATCTTGGAAAAGTCTTTCGCCTTTTTATTTATAAACTTCCTCGTCTGAAACTGCAGTTGCACAATGACGGTGGACCTGCGGCTCTTTAGCAGCCTGAACCTTTAGGAGGCGATCACCGGCAGTAGTTTTTTGCTCTCTCCGTGCCCGTCTGCTCGTGCGTCTGTCCCGACTGTAATAAAGATAAGGAAATGAAATTATGACCTGCTATCTACAAAAGCCTTGAAGACTGCGGGGCGACCACAGGCGGGAAGGAGGAGGAAAAGGGAGGAGGAGGGAGGGAGGGAGGGAGGGGGAGGAGGAGGAGGAGGCATCGGTGTGATCGTGTGAGCTCTCGGGCTCAGAAATATCTCTGCTCTGGCTCACATTCCGATAAGGGAGCCCGATCCAGCTCGCTCTGGGGGCGTGGTTTTCCCAGGCTTTTAAAACAGCAGCTGCTATTTACCTTCCCCTCTAATGTAAACCACTGCCGCCGCCACCCCCCCCCCCCCCC